GATGTTCGTCATCTTCTCTCCGTCTCGAGCTGTGTGTGGATACCTATAGGCATTTTTCGACGCCTACAGGGGGGTTAGAGAAAAAAGTTTAGGGTGGTTATATGAAAAACCCCCAAAGTTCAGAGGGTTTTATGAAATAATCCCTTTTTCATTTCAGGGCCAAATACATATACTAGATACTGTTGTGTTAGAGAAAAAGGAAGTTTCGTTAAGACGTAGGCAAAGGGCCAGTTTGGTATTGCTAGAACTTATAAGTTGCTTATAAAATCAACTTGTAGAAGCAACTTATATAAGTTATTGAAAATAGCTATTTGGTAATTAAATATAAAAAATTGTTTAAGAAGCAATTAAGGTGTTTGGTAGAACTGTGTTTAAGTAAAAAAATAAAATGTATATATGGTATATAAATTAAAAAAGCAGAAGCTACTTTTAAAAGCATCATCAGATTGTTTCTAAAAGCACCCTTTTAAAAATAGAAGCAGTTTTAATAAACATGCTAAAAAAGTTTTCACCAAACACTGCTATCCGCTGCTGCTTTAAAAAAATAAGCAGAAGCATCTTAAAAAATTAATACCAAGTTGTCCCTAACTCTTGAGAGGGGAAAAGTCTACAATTACTAAGAATTCAGAAGGTTACAATTTCAAGGTTGCTTTGGAAGAATCCTCCTTAGGGACCCAAACGGTTGGGGATGGTTGGGAGGTTCCAATATGGCTTGTGAAAATTCGCGTTAGATAACAAATATTGATTTATGACAAGCGATTATAGTTTTCTCGGGTTTTTAAGATGTTGGTTCCCAAATGATAAGTATCTTAAAATAGGTCCACAGATGTTGATACTTAGAAACAAGCCTCTCAAATCCTTTTTAAGTTGCATCAAATTTCCAAATATCATCATTTAGTGTAACTTAAAGGTTTACATTTGGGGACTTATTTTTAAGTATTAACATTTGGTTGACATATTTCCATGTATTAACATTTGGGGACTTATTTCTAAATATCGACATTTGGGAGACCTATTTCCAAAATACTGATGATTTGGAGAGGAACCAATATCTTTAAAACCTCTTTTTTTTAATCCTTTCAAACTTAGATTTTTTTTTTGAACTATGTATGATCCTCTGCCCTCTTTTGTGTGGACACAGGTAACATGTGCTTCTACTGGGTTTTTACTTCTCCAAAGATAATTATAAGAGACCCAGAGCTGATAAAGGAAGTTCTAACAAATAAATGCGGTCAATTTAGGCAGTTGCCTCTTGCTCCATCTCTTAGGCTAACAGGGGGGGTTTCTTTGTTGGATGGAGATGAGTGGGCTCAGCATAGGAGCATAATTAATCCTGCTTTCCACCAGAACAAACTGAAGGTTAACATCCATTAACCCCTCTCGCATTTTAACCTACCTGCTGCTGCAAATTATGCTTTATGGTTCAGTCTTCTATGGCAAGTCACAGGTGTGTTTATTAGGAAATTACATATCTTGTTTTTACTCTATACGGTTTTTGTCAACTATGAGCATACTGCAGATGGGTGAATATTATGTTCATTGTAGGATCTTGGATTAGTGGATAAATATTTGCCAAAGCTTCATAATCTTTGAAGAAGCTGTGCATTTTCCTTTCAAGTGAATTTTTAAACCTATTAAGCAAATCTTTTCCGAATTGACATTTTATATTTACTGATAAAGTGGATGCACGCACCTAGCATTTCCTGACATTATTCGCAAAGTGGCCTAATTTTGCGTGGACTCCTCCATAAGTTCTATAAATGCGATTCAAACTTGTTCATATAAGTTGACGAAGCTCAAGCTTGTCGCATGGTTCGTTAATTAGCTTATGCTACCTAGTTTGACTTGTTTAGGCTTGATCGACAGTAATTAAAGGCATTCCATTGTAAATCATATACGGACATATGGACTTTAAAACATATAAAAATTGCATGTTTTGCAATCATGGAGTTTTAGACCATTGTTTCCCCACTAAAATATTGAAAATAGTAAAAAGAATAAACAGGTTTTTTGAGTGTTGAGGGGTATTTTCATCATCTTTTATCACGTGCTTGGTGTGTGACACGTTAGACACTTGTGGGGACTTAAAGCGAAAATTCTGCGAAGAGTTTAGTGGAATAGAAGAAGTTCAAGGGGGTTATATGCGAAACCATTAGGGGGGTTTGTACTATTAAAATAGTTAGGGGGTCATATCAAAAATGGCCAAACTTATGGGGAGTTTTGTGAAATTTACCCTTTATTTTTCGTACCATGCACTATATTTTTAAGTCCACCAGTCTTAATCGCAGGAGATGGTTCCAGAATTTTGCACAAGTTGTAGCGATATGATCGAGAGGTGGAGGAATTTGGTTTCTCATAGAGGATCAGTTGAATTGGATGTGTGGATTGAACTCAAGAATATGACTGCAGATGTTATCTCTAGAACTGCATTTGGAAGTAGCTATAATGAAGGTAGAAGAATTTTTGAGCTACAGGAAGAGCAGCTTGAACTAGTTATGTTGGCACATAAGCTTCCACATATTCCTGGATTCAGGTGAATTACCGTTGCAGTGTGGATAATAATACTAAGAGGTCAGAATAGTCAATCATAAATTTTGGGGTCAAGTGCGGATAACACTCCTCCGTACTATCGCCCAGTTGTGAATAGACTTCCCGTAGTTCTATTGCTGTAGTTCTATTGCTGTGGATAGACCCATTAAGTGAATCTTTTCGATTCTTTTACCCTCAGGAGGCCTATTGTTTAATAAAAAACAATGCTCTTTATGTGAGGGTAAAAAGCCAAAAAAAGAAAAAAGCACTCAGCGGACCTACCTGCAACAATAGAACTACAGTGGATTTATCCGCATTCGGGCTATAGGGGGTTTATCCACACTTAACCTCAAAAATGATAGTGAGCATTACATACATATTCAGATATTTATCCGTATTCAGTCTATAATTACCTCGTCACCATTAAATACAATATATAAATGCTTGGTTCGCTGCTAAATGAAGTGATGAAAAAGAAGCAACTCTTTTGAAGTGATGAAAAAGAAGCAACTCTTTTATACTTGTCCTAAAATTTATTGATTGATATAGGTTCATACCCACGAAAAATAACCTAAGAAGATATTGGGTCAACAAAGAGATTAAAATTATGCTAAGAGATTTGATTCAGAAGAAGGAACAAGCAATGAAACAGGGAAAATGTGACTACAAAGACTTATTAGGCTTGATGCTAAGCTCGAACAAGCAAGCACACAGAGATATGAAAGGTTTAACAATCGATGAGGTGATGGAGGAATGCAAGCTATTTTACTTTGCTGGCCATGAGACTACTTCTGTGCTGCTCACATGGACAATGGTGCTGTTATCAATGTACCCCCTTTGGCAAAGCCGAGCAAGAGAAGAAGTGCGAGAGATCTGTGGGAGGGAGATGCCCAGTTATGAAAGCATTGGCCAACTTAAGATTGTGAGTGCCTGTTTGCAATTTTCAAAGAAGTACTTCTGTTGATAACATACTCTATCTCCTATTTTATCCTTCTGGTATGTTTACTGTGAATATTTTGTTTCATGAACAATTGCTGACTGATCTTCGATGCAAGGGAGATAGTAAACCTCCATAATTTCGATCATTATAGGTGCTGTTCCTCTAACAACCTAGTGCTGTATTTTTTTTATCATTATTAAGAATCTTTAACTATTGAGAAGTTACCGTTCTTATGTATTTTCTATATTTGTCAATGAACGACCACTTATATATATATATATATATATGAGAATAATGGAGGTGAGTTGGCAGCTCACCTCTCCCCATGAGCTGCAAGTGTATGACATGTGAGCCCCCTACTAGTCACATCGGTGTGGGGCTCACATGTCATCCACTTGCAGCTCATGGGGAGAGGTGAGCTGCCAGCTCACTTCCATTATTCTCATATATATATATATATATAAAGGAGAAAGAAGGTGCAATATGCCAAACAGTCTGTTATACAATGATGATGTTGATGATGCATTTGGCTTCTACCTGGTATCATCTGTTAGGGCAACCCTCTGCTCTGGAGCTACGAAATAGTTGGGGGTCTATATTTCGTAGTTTTTCTCAAAAGAGAGTCTTAGGTGTTGACATACTATTGATTAAGACTGCTTAGTTTATTGGGTTAATCATAGATAGACCACCTATACAATCATCCGATTGTGTATAGACCCACTGTACTTCTATTACTATCGCCCAATTGCTGATAGACCCCTTGAGTGAAAATTTGTGTTTCTCATGAGGTTTATTTGCCAAAAAAGACTCAAAAAATTCCACTCATGGGGTCTCTCTGCATCAGTAAGGTATATCCACAATTGGGAAATGGTAGAGGGGGTCTATCCGCAATTAGCCCTAGTCATTTTATGAAAATCAGTAAGTCAGTAATCTGCTATCAGGTGGTTCTTAATTTCACCAGCATGGCAACAATTATGTACTCTCCTTCTGAATCTCGTAATGTATGACTTGTTGTTACAGGTAAATATGATATTGCATGAAGCTCTAAGATTGTATCCACCTGTGCCTGCTCAGTATCGATATCTCTACAGCCAAACAAAACTCGGGGGGTTCTCACTCCCAGGGGGCACCGATCTTATACTACCCACAATATTTATCCACCACGACCCCGAGATTTGGGGCGAAGATGCCGAAGAATTCAAACCTGAAAGGTTCTCAGACGGAGTGCTCAAGGCAACAAACCATCAGTTTGCTTTCTTCCCTTTTGGATGGGGGCCAAAAACCTGCATCGGGCAAAATTTTGCACTGATAGAAGCAAGGATTGCTCTTGCTATGATACTGCGGCATTTCTTCTTTGAGCTATCACCCTCATATGTGCACTCTCCTTTCAGTTTTATCACGGTTCAACCACAACATGGCGCTCCGCTTATCTTACACCAACTGTGATATGTTCCCATACTGGGAACCTAAATTGGTAAGAAGAATCTGTTGAATTGCGGTTACCGGTATCGCAAACTGAGTATATTAGTGATTTGAGGAAACTGTAGCTGATAAGCTGTTTTCGATTATCAGAAGCTCGTACAACCTTATCTTTGTTGCTATAGACTGGATATGGCCATTTGCAGTAATGATATGGTTTCATTTGCAGTAATGAACTTCTCTCGTATTTTTTATGCATGTTTTTATTCCTTCTCCCGTGATCAAAATGGACTCGTTAACTATTCAACACCATCCACCTCTTTTTGGGTGATAATCAAACTGGCTTCATCCCTGGCGACTGGTTCTGCAGCAGGTAACCAGATCAGCATTCCTTACTTTTATTTATTTACTTATTGTTATTATTATTATGCATGTCCCCTCCGGGTGCTTCAATAAAGATCTTTGACCGAGACGTCAAAGCGCTGCAGCGTGAGCGGAGTCGAAGAGTCGTCCACGACAGAGTTTGGACCGGGGTGCTCTCGACCATGGAGTGGAATTCGGAGCCTGAGTTATTAAGTCTGGTGACTTGTCATCGTCAGATCGAACAGGGTTCAGCCACATCTGTCTGTAGCCAGGCGACGAGTTCTGGCGATCTGACGATTTGTGGGGGCCGCGGTGGGGAGAAGACGGGAGCATTACGGTCTGTCATGGTCGTGATGCTTGCACGAAACCCCCCTCGGTGGCCAGGGTTAAGCAAGAGGGGAGAGACTTTCTAGATTGATAACTCTAGTTCGGATACCGGTTTATAAAAACGAAACTTCGTTCATTAATCTTCTTAATGACACGTCTGCAGTAGTATTCTATACATACACTGATACGCATCAGTTCTTGCAGAGAATAAACACGGGTGGGTAGTGTTGGGATTTTGTCTTTGATTCTTTGTGTAACTTCATGAGAATTAGATAGGGTTAAAGTTCTATCATGATTAGGAATTTGGGTTCTATTATGATTAGGAGTTCGAGTTCTATCATGATTAGAAGTTTGGGTTTTATTTTGATTAGGAGTTTGAATCCTATTCTAATTAGGAAGTTAGGTTAGAAATAGGGTTTTGGTTTCCCTATATATATATATTCTTCTATTGGTGGAGGAAAAACCATGAAGAAAAACTAGAGATGTAGTAGATGAGAGAGAGAGGGTTTCGTAGTCTTTATCCGTGTAAAAGATTACATGGAGTGGGTTTTGGAGAGAATATGAGAGTTGATTATGTATGTGAGGTTGAGAGATTGAGAGACGAGAGTTGAGTGGTTCCTCTTGTAGTTCTCCCTGATACATAGTGAATTTCTCGTATTGTTGCCCCGTGGTAGTTCTCCCTGATACATAGTGAATTTCTCGTATTGTTGCCCCGTGGACGTAGGTCGAAGTTGGTCGACTGAACCACGTAAGTCTCGGTGTTCTTTTTCTTAATTGTGGTTGTTCTATCTTATTGATTGGGGTTGGCTTCCGAGTTACGCATATCGTGGGAGGCGGGGAGACTGAAATTCCCCAACAAGTGGTATCAGAGCGATGGTGATGGATCCGGAAGCGAGTTTGCAAGATAGAAGACGACGTCGTGCAAGATTGAAAATCGGCGTTACAAGAATCAATATGAAAAAAGGGAAAGGTTACTGTAGCAGAACACTGTAGCACGGCGGGCACTGTTCACGTGGGGATCCGACGGTCCAGATTGATTTGTTAGTCGATTGAGGATTTAGAGGCGGATTTTGGTGATCCAGGGGTCGTTCCTAGGGTTTTTCGACGTGCTGAATTCGTTTTTGGCATCGGTTTTATCAAATTCAATCATTACATGGACTGCTTTTAATTTTGATCGTGGTTAGAGGATGATGATTTCTTCGGGTCCGAAGTTTGATATTCCGCTATTTAACGGCAAGACAAATCTGAGACAAATCTGATGGTAAATAAGGAGCAGAAGTTGGTTGGTGCGTATACTTGAGGAGGGCAGTGCCAGATTAGGTGGAGCTTGCAAGCGAGCACGACCGAGTGACACACATGGAGATGAAGATGGTGGCGTTGGACTTGAAGATGGTGAGCGCTCATATTCAGTCCAAGCCAAGTGATGGAGGAGATAAAGGCATCCAGCTCGTAGTGTGGAGTAGGAGATGTGCACCGATATGATTCGAGACGAGCGATGCAGGTGGAGCACAATGACAACAAGAGAGGTGGAGACGTCACGGCGAAGCAGAAGATAGTGAGGATCATGAAGGCATCCAATTGGGAGTGCAAGTTTTCTGATTTGAAGTGCGGAAGAAATAGAAGACTCTAGCGGGAGAGACAAAATTTCAATACGACGATGATATATCTTCAAGGGAGTTTGGGAATCAAATCTAAGATGGAGATTGTTGGGATTTTGTCTTTGATTCTTTGTGTAACTTCATGAGAATTAGATAGGGTTAGAGCGGTTCTGGACTAGGGAGGCGATGGTGGTGATGGAAGAGGTGATGGCGGGTGGTGGTGGAACTGGAGCGGCTGAGGATCGTCGGCAACGAGGCTGGGGTTCGGGTGTGGCTGCTGGTCGTTGGCGGGGCGGCGAACAGGGCGGCGAGAGGTGGTGGTGAAGATGGTAATCTAGGGTTAGCAGAGGGCGTAGCCTGATTCAAGAATATTGTGCGAGAGGCGAGCGTTTCGTGATCTTTATCCGTGTAAAAGATTACAAGGAGTGAGTTTTGGAGAGAATATGAGAGTTGATTATGTATGTGAGGTTGAGAGATTGAGAGACGAGAGTTGAGTGGTTCCTCTTGTAGTTCTCCTTGATACATAGTGAATTTCTCGTATTATTGCCCTGTGGACGTAGATCGAAGTTGGTCGACCGAACCACGTAAATCTCGGTGTTCTTTTTCTTGATTGTGGTTGTTCTATCTTATTGATTGGGGTTGACTTTCGAGTTGCGCATATCGTGGTAGGCGGGGGGACTGAAATTCCCCAACAAGTGGTATCAGAGCGAAGATAATGGATTCGGGAGCGAGTTCACAAGATAGAAGACGACGTCGTGCAAGATTGAAAATCGGCGTTACAAGAATCAAGATGTAAAAAGGATTGCCCCCCCTATTTTGTTCAGATAAAGGCTCAGAACCGCCCCGCACGAGCGGGCGGTTTTGGTAGAAAGTGGACTCAGATTTTTACCCCCCCGAGGGCCTCCTATTTGGTTAGGCGGGGGAAATTTCCATTAGAGGGCCAAAGATCAAATCTCATCCCTATAATAGGTTCGCACGAGGAGTGGAAGAGGAAAATATTATTGATGAAAAAATAATGCCTCTAAAGTATATCATCCTCTTCTTAAATGAAAACATAACAAACTAATAGTAGGAGAGAATTTTTAAAAAGATGAGAAAATATAAAAGATGACCCTAAATGATTCCAATTAAGAAAATAAATTGTTTTTTTTCAGACCAAACAGGATCCATTTTCTATTCCAAAGAGACTCCTATTTATTGCTAAAAGTAACAAAAGATCCTAAAAACCGACAGGACAGAAGGAATTCTACGATTCTCAACACTGTAAAACCTTCTTCGAAAGGCACAATAAAATAAAAAGTTCAATGGTTCCACTAATAATTGATTTTGCAATTAATTAAAAATCAAATGTGTTTAGTATTTAATAATCATCACACCATGTTAAAATAAACAGAAGAAAAGATTAAAAATAAAATAAAATGTTAAGATCTTGAATTTCTAATTGCCGAATTCTAAGATTTTTTTTAAAGGACCTTAGCGAGAAATCGGCTTTCAAAATCAACCCTCCAATGATATTGAACAGTCAATTGCCTACGCCCTCACCGCATAACACGCGGATGGATAAGCCTTTTTAATCCCACCACCCAAAAAAAAAAAGGATAAAAATAAGGGAAAAAAATCCTTCACTCATCACAAGTATAAAGCCTCCATCTCTCACACTCCCACAAAACACTTGAGCAAAAACAGAGGGGAGAAATGGGCGATTTCCTCTTGGGGCTGTTTGGTTGGTTTCCTAAAAACCAAGAAAAGGAAATCGGTACAAAGAAATCAATAAAATAATATTTTTATCCATTTCCATCCTTAAAACTCACCCACAACATCTAATAAAATATTATTTTTATCCTCCAACTCATCTCATTTCATCTCTTTTCACGAGGACTCGCTCAACCCTCGAAGAGCGAATCAAGAAACGTCGCGCATTGCTTGCGCATGCCCGAGTCCTTCTGCAGAAAGCAGAAGAGATGCAGAAAGAAGAGACGGTCAAGAATCTGTCAAAACACAAGCAGGTGTGGGTGCCAAAGGCAAAGCCGGCGCCAAAGGCAAAAGTGGACGGAATTGCCGTCCAACCTTCATCAAATCCAGATCCTGTTTCCCTTGCTCCCGCATCTCCGGCAGAGTCAGGTAAGAACGTGGATCCTTCAAGATCCAGGGTTCCTTTGAAAGGTCGCCTCGGTCCTTTACCGGAGAACCGAGGTAAAGCACCTGTCAAGGAACGATTGGGACCGTTGAAAAGTCTCCAAACAACAAACCCGGCTGGGGGTCGTGCTAATCCCCCCAAGAAAGATAACAAAGAGAAAGCCCCTGTTACCGACCGCATCGGATTGCGTGTCGAAGTTCAAGAGCCCGTTAAGTTTTCACGCTCGCAAAAGCGTAGACTTGAACGAGCGACTTCTGAAAACGCTAATAAAGCGTCATATCCCCAGAGGGAAACGCATTCGTCTGATGATGATGGTGTTATACCTGGGAGGTCATGCCAACACTCTATGGGTTGCTCCAGTCATCAAACTGATGAGTTGTACTATAGAGCTGGGGGTGCGGGTAAGTCTCGAAAGAGATACGCTCAAGACACGGAGTCTCACTGTCCGTGTGCCAACATCATCAAGGCGGTGTTGTCAAAATGCTGCTGTTCTAAAACCCCAAAGAGAATCTCGGTGTTCGAGAGAATTTCCAAGCCAAGGCGTTTTCGTGGGAAGAAGTTCGTTCGACAAGAGGACGCACATCATCCAATAATAAGGTGACAACTCATCTCATCTCATCTCCTATTCTATAATTTCCTTCTTTTTTACCCTAACCAAACAACTTCAAAACCATTATAATAGGAAATATGTTTCCTATTTTTTGATTTCCAGGTTTTTTTGGCCAAACGAACAGCCCTGTTTACAAATGTGATCTCCTCACTGTTACTCTTCTACTTGATTTTAAAGGGAGGTTACAGGTTTTGGTG